AAAAAAACAAAGACAAAAAATTTTTCATAGACATGAAACAAGATTTTAAATAAAGAGAGAGCAATATATTTCATTTGAAAAAAACTATACAGATAATTAACTTATAATACAATCTTTTTTCCTTCGTCCACTATTTGTTTTCTTCTCTTTTTTACTCAATGTCATCGATTTCTTCATTAAATTTGGATTGATTGTATTAACTCCAAGACCACATTCATCAACATAACTAATTTTAGTTCCATAATTTAATGGTTTTCGAAGACGATTACCATGTATATCATATTGATAATAAAGTGAATTAATATCATCTTGATCATCGTTATCATCATCTGAAGATGACGATGATGATGAACGACGTATTGATGAGAAATTTTTCTTTGAACGATAGCTCATTGTTGGCGAACGTTTATATGATTTATCTTTGTCATCATCAACAAAACGAACATGATGTTGTTTTGTAAAACGTGCCGAACCATTTAACGAACGTGAACGTGGAAATTGTGATGATGTTGTTGCTGTTGTTGTCGATGATTTAGGCCGTGATATTGGATACATAATTTCATTTGAATCAAAATTTTTCATATGATTCGGTTGATCAACTAATGTTTCTTGTGATATTGTTGGATAAGGTTTTACTTTTGGTTTTGATATAGATTTATGGCTTAAATCAGGTAATGATGCACGTGATGATTTTGATGTTGAACAACGTGCAATTTCTAATGTTGCACCATGTCGATCAAGTTGTTCAAGATTTAAATCATTATAAAATTGTATTGGTTCACGTGAACGACTTCGTGTTATATTAATTTGTTGTTGATGAGGATCATTGGGTGGAGATGTTTGATATTGAAGAAATACTTGTGATTGTTGATGACGATTATATCGACGACTACCAGTAGCATCTGATAAATAACCATTATTATAATCACGTTTCGATTTTTGTACACCAGCACCATCAGATACATAACCAGTTGATTCTTTAATTCGTCGATTCGATTGTATTTGATGTTGTGGTAGTGGTGGTGGTGGTTGTTGTTGATGATGATTATTGGTAAGTTTAGGACGAGCAGGAAGAATTCTAACATGTTGATTTGTGTGTGTATAAGATGTAGGAATAAGATCAGGACCTTGTTGAAATTTATTTGGTTGTATTAATTTTGTATTAATTAAACGATTATTTCGTTGTGTTGCACAATCATTTGAACAAAAAAGTGCACCGTAACGTGGAAAAAACCCACGATTATGTAGTGGAATACGACATGTATAACAATAAAAACAAGCATCTGTAGCATGCCAATGTTGAGATTCATGTGCCATTTGTGCTTGATCAGTTTCAATACGTTCACCACATGTATCACAATATTCAGCATACATAGTTTCAAAACAATTTAAACAAAATGGTTGAGTTTGACGCATTACATAACGTTCACCACCTAAACGTTTTTGACAATTTGAACAACAAAAATGATCCATATGCCAACTATAACCTTCTGCTTCAGTGCATTCGTCACTAAAGATTATCTAAATAGATGAACAACAAAAAAAATTAATTATTTGATAGGTAATATTAGTACATAGTTGTGTATCTAGTCTGAACTAATCGACTCAACGGATGTCTACATTTTTATTCAAGTATTAAGCACTTTAAATTTTAGATAAGAATCGAATATGATGTTAAAGATAAAGTCTTCGCCTCTGTATTTTTATATGAAACTACAATGATATATATATATCCATAATGATTTTGTGACAGTACTAAATACATGCCTCGAAGTGATCTTACTTAACCGAGTACATTAATACTACATTTCCGTCTAGTGTAAATGGTTCAGTTGAACTCACTATATTCAATACGTCAGTCGCTAGTATTTTACCACTAGTGAATCAAATTTAATCGTTTCTTTTTCTATCGAGTGATTGCAACTTTCTTTATTACAAATCAATTATAACACTTTTCTTCGAAAGTAGTATTACAATCATATACAACCTTTTCCTTTCAGATTAATATAAACTTGTCTCAATTTATAATACTATGATTCTCATATTTATTTAAACAGTGGTTCGAAATGAACCGTTATATAATAAACAAGTCTGACTTATTCTAAATATTTATTAGAGAAAACAACCCAATGCTCATATTATTTTTCGAATAGTCTATTAACGTGTGATAAACAAAGTATAAATTTTGACATGTATCAACACATGCATAGCATAAGTATGGATTTAGTATGTCAATAATGTATGAATTTGTCATCACTCAATACCTTACGTCGAAGTGGTAATGGTCTTTTATTCATATGTATATATTATTAAATAAGTAACCTAACAATTTCACATTATTTTAATATATATATATGTATGTATGTATGTATTTCAATGTCTGCTCTTTCCTATTGTCATACCTCTAATGATTATATAATCAATTATAGGTTCTTTTGAACGACAATTGTTCTCGTTTTTTATTCTCTCACATAATGATTAATTATCATCAACAACATCCTTTTAGCTTTTGTTTCTCTTTTTCTCTATTTAACAAATCATCATTTAAAACATACCTCATCACATGCTGTACATCGTGGTTTATATAATTCAGCATGATGTCGTCCACAATAAAGTTGACCATCTTTATAATAATATATTAAATTAACAAGAAATTCTTTGCATTGTGTACAATTAAAACATTGTGGATGCCAAAGACCAGATCGACCGGCTCGTTCGGCAAATACACATAGCGAACCAGAATCAATCAATTTTTGACACTAAAAAAAGACGACAATATATCATTATTGTTATTATTATTATTATTATTATCATCATCGTGTAATCTGTTTTTGATTTCACACTCAATTTTATAACAAATGTCAAACACACTTGCTATTGACTATAATCAATGAACTTTTACTTCGTCTATACGTTCAACACAATTAACCAGTCTATTGTTTGATCATGATTTTCTCTTTTATGATGCATATCTATTTGTAATATACATCGTTATCAATAGAATCTTTCGTTTTAAGATAGATTGATCGATGTAGAAGAAATAAAACAAAACTTTTTGATCAAAACATTCCCATGATTATGTTGATATTAGTTTGTAATTACATTGATATCTATCTAGGCTTCATTTTAATTTACTTGACCTTAGATGTCAAATTTTGAAATATGATATACATTTATTTCTATGTCGTAACTTAAACGTGCTTTAATCTTTTTTTCTTCAAAAAAATTAACTTACTCCACGACATGGCAAAGGTGATTGTGTCAATGGCAATTGCATAGCTGAACCACGACCAAGTGCATTATGTCGTTGTTGTTCATTGAATATTCTTAATTCATTTTTTTCATCTTCATTTAATGTACGACAATATTTTGGATCAGAAT